AAAAAACTATTCCCCTCCCTCTCCACTCAAACACGCCAAATGAGCAGGTGGCAGAAGCTTCAGGACTATCTAGGGTTGGTCGAGTTACCCGGTTAGCAGCCTTAGAGCAGGAGGTGGCAGGGTTGCATACCTCGGTCGCTAACTTAGGTACGCGTATTGATGCGGTGGCCACCCAGCAGGTTAAATCTAAGAAGAAAATAATGGGCTGGCTGCGAGCTCTGGGTCGTGCATGTCATCTGGACCCAGGGATGGTCTCCGATCAAGATTGATCAATCAGGGAAGTTCCTTTACCTAACATTTCTTTATTTTGTATGCCATAAGGACATGTCTTCTTTTTAAGTGTGGGGTGGGGGATACTTCGGTGTATGTGTATATATGTAAGAACATGATTGTTTTATGTTTTCTTTTGTTTTGTGGCTTTGAGTAGCAGTAGAATTAGGTGAGTCAACTTGTCCCAACGACGAATCTCATTCTGCGGGGTTCTTGAGGGTCTAAGTCGACCTTTAAAAAAAATAGAAATATGTTGAACTCTTTCTGATGACAGATCTTCTAGACAGTTTCTTGAGGGATGTAAGTCTAAAGAAAATATCAAAAAGATTTTCTATTTTAGGTAGTATAGTAACTCCCCCTTGGTTTTTCTTTGTGCCGCGGTTCTTTTCCAAGGGTTTTGCTTGAACCGGGTGTAGTTAGTTTTTGTTTATTTTGTTTCTAGTTTTTATTTGGTAATTATGGGATATGAGTTGAGATAGGAAGAAAATCCCTTAGGATTGATACACTTGAACACAGTAGATACTAGAGTGTGACGCTTAGTCTCAGTTGTTGATTCTTGTTAGAGTGCCTTAACTTGTATGTTTGTAACTGAGTTGAGTACTCAAATGAGAGTTTTTGATAAGCCAATCTGGACTGAGTCATGTGCCATGTGTGTGTGAGTTGTATTGTATTCTATGCTCTGTATTTGATGCCTAGAACTTGCCCTGTATATTTGCAAAGCGAAATAGTAGCCTTATTCAGTTTTAGAAGTGATTTAGGCATTTGTTTATGAAGCAAGATATATAAAGTAGACCCACCTAAATGTGATACATCGTAGTTAACTCCGTTGAGCCTATAAGAATGTTTCTTTGCAACCACATTACAAACCTTACTCAATTGTTTGAATGGCCCATCTGTTTGAACCCATTTACCTCCCATGAGCACTTGAATGGTTATGAAATATGCAAAAGTTAAAGTTTGGGATGGCAGTTTGGTTTTTGAGTAGAACCGATGAAATAAAAGGTGCAGTGTTTTGAAAAATAAAAGAATAAACGCCACTTAAAAAGAAAAAAAAAGAGAAAAGAAAATAAGTAAATGTAGTCCTTGATAAGTGGTGACTTGGTACAATTGCACCTAAAGGAGTTTGGGGTATTATAAATAGAAGTGTGGTGGAATGTCTGGTCTGACATAAGTATGGTTCTGAATGCGAAAGTGATTGCATTAAAAGTGCTGAGGGAGGTTAGTCAGTATATCCAAATATATCCTACCCGTAGCTTAGCCTATATTACAACCAAATGAAGTCCTAATTGATCTTAGACTGAATGAGCTTGATTAGTAGAGTAGTACACTACGGGCAAGCCTATAGTGCATCTTTGTGGCATATGAATGTTCTTTCTAAGAGTGAGTGAATTTTGTCTATCTAAGTTCCTAATTGTTCTTAATATTATTACTTATGGAACTACTCTCTTGTATGATGTGAGGGCATTTGATTCACGAAGGAAAGGTAAGTCTTGACCTCTGTATAGAGTAATTTGAGTAAGTATGAATATTGCACGGCACGTGAGAGTCGACTCTTGAGGCAAAGATTTTACACTACTAGACGCAACTTTGGTGATATGTTCTTGGTGTAATACGTTAGGGAAAAGCTTAGTGAAGGAACCGTTATAGAGTATGGTGGATTTCTCGGGGACTAGTAATGATTTAAGTGTGGGGTGTTCATAATAGGCTAGATTCATATAGTTTGGTGACTATTTATGCCCCAACTTAATTGTGCTTCACTGTTCTAGGAAGGTTAAATGACGATAGAATGGCTCTAATTGTGAATTTTATATTTTGCAGGAGCAAGACGTGCTTATGGGGACTTAGTACAGTATTTGAAGCTAAATTAAAGCAAGGAAAGCCCCTCGGAGTTGAGTACGTATGAAAGAAGAAAGAAAAGAAGAGATAAACAACTGATCCACTCAAGTGTAGGCCAAGCGTGGCCTAGAGCAAAAGAACTGGTGTAGTGTTGATGTCGATTAACGTGGCCCAAGCGCGGTCACGAGAGCGACCGCACTAGTCCAGGAAGCAGCGACAGTGTAGAATGTCATTTGTGCAGTCCATGCGTGGTTCGAGTGTGGCCGCGCTAGTCACTCCGAAACGCAGAATTTTAAGAGTAAACTTGGAAGTTTGAGGGAAATTCCACTTAACCTATAAGAGGTCCAGCTCGCCCAAAAAGAGGATATTAAGTTTTTAATAGTTTTGTTGAAGGCAAGAAGATGCAAGAGGCAATGAGGATAATTCGGCATCGAGTTCTACCTTTATTCCTTTTGTTTTTATCATTCATGATGAATTTTGTTGTTGTTATGATGAACATGATTATGAGTAGCTAATTATTTAGTCTAAGGTTTTGATGGAACCTATTGAGGGTTGAACTTCTTGTTGTGTTAATATAGTTTGCCCAATTTAATCTCTATTTTTTCAACTACGTTCTTGTTGTAGTTAATTGATAGGATCCTCAATTAGCTGTGCCTATTTAATATGTATTACTTGGGAGAGAGTGAATATTTAGGTAGTTATTGAACAAAACCACTCCCAAAGTATATGAGGAATCAATAACTGAGGGTTTAAAGGTGGGATTAAGGATAACAAACCATGGGTGTGATCTAACTGAGCTGTAATAAAAGCCAGCTAGCGTAACTCGGGAGAGCACATCTAGTAAATTGTCGTAATTACTTGGGAGAGATTTACGGTAGTAAGAGTGCTCATGATCGATAGAGACGATTAGGCAAATCTATACGAAATACGACAGGAAGGGATTCCATCAATAGGGGAAATCACAACCTTAGATCCTTCTCTTATCTGTTTACAACTCAGTCATAGTTAGCTTTTAGTTTACTTAATTTTATTCAGTTATAGTTAGTAGAAATAACACCAAGTGTTATTCGAAATATCTGGGAAGTTGGTTACGGAGAATTGAGTGAGTTTGACAAAAGTAATTGGTAGGTTAATTCCTTGTGGGATTTAACTCTGGGCTAAATACATTGATTATATTTGCAACGACCACTTTGTCTTTTTTATAAGGCATAGTTGGGCGTGATCATGCCATTTGTGTTCAATGAGATAAAGAAACACCAACTATTTGCTAAGCATAACAAGTGTTTCTTTGGAGTAGACAATATAGAGTACTAGGGGCATTTCATTACTATTGAAAGAGTATCAACAGACCCTCAAAAGAAAGAATCTGTGAAGAACTGCATCTTCCCACTACTATCAAACAACTAAGAGGATTCTTATGTCTAGAAGGGTATTACAGGAAGTTTATAAAAGGATTTGGGATCATCAGTAAGCCACTAACTAATTTCCTTTAAAAAGACAACTCAAATGGTTACCTGCTACCTCTACAACTTTTGAACAATTGAAATCTGCTCTTACTCAAGCACCAGTCCTGGCATTACCTGATATTAATAAAACCTTAATGGTAGAAACTAATGCAAGTGGACAAGGAATAGGTGTTGTCCTCATGCAACAGGACCATCATATTTCTTTTATCAGCAGAGCTCTTTCATCTAGATATGCTGCTCTCCCAATTTATGGCAGTGAGTTGTTAGCTATTGTTCATGCTTTAACCAAGTGGTCTCAATACTTGCTTGGCAAGAAATTCATTATCAGAAATGATCAAAGATCTCTCAAATTTCTAATGGAACAGAAGCTCCACACTAATTCTCAGTTGATGTGGTTAAGAAAGCTGATGCCCATTGACTATGCCATTGAGTACAAGAAAGGAATTGAAAACAAAAATGTTGATGCTCTTTCGAGGGTATCTGGGGCTGAAGTATTTTCATTAGTCATCTCAACTACTAGCTCAGAAATATTACAAGCTATAGCCCACAATTGGGACACAGATCCTGAGCTAAAAGCAATCATTGAACAACTAAAGGTGGATCCTGCAGCTCACATATAGTTCATTTGGAATCAGGATCAATTGAGGAGAAAAGGCAAATTAGTAGTTGGCAAAGTACTACAACTTAGATTGGACACCATTTCTTTGTGGCATTCTACACCCCAAGGTGGTCACTCAAGAATCGAGGCAACATTGAAGAGAATTTTGACCTTGTTCTACTGGACGAGCATAAGAGAGGATGTAAAGCTCTTTGTTTAGAAGTGTGATGGCTGTCAAAGAAATAAGTCTGACTTAGCAGCGTATCCTAGTCTCCTACAACCTCTTCCAATTCCAGAAGTGGTATGGTCTCAAATCAGTATGGATTTCATTGATGGATTACCTAAGTCAAAGGATATGAGGTAATACTAGTCATAGTATATAGGTTGACTAAATATGGCCACTTTATACCATTTAACACCCTTATACTGCTCAATCTGTAGCGAGAGTGTTTATGGAAGTCACATACAGACTTCATGGTCTACCAGATTCCATTGTGAGTGACAAGGACACAGTGTTCTTAAATTCCTTTTGGCAGGTACTACTCACAATACAAGGAGTCCAGTTACACCATCATCTTACCACCCACAAACTAATGGGCACACTAAGGGTCTAAATAGATGCCTAGAGACATATTTGAGATGCTTTTGCTCTGAGGAAGCTACTGACTGGCATTCTTATCTATACATGGCTGAGTATTGGTACAATACTTTCTTTCATTCAGCCATAAAAACCACCCCTTGTGAGGCCCTCTATGGAAGACCACCACCCCAGCACTTGCCTTATCTACCAGGTGAATCAACTTCAGCTGATGTAGACAACACTCTGATCAACAGAGAATTGAAGTTGCAACTGTTGCAGCACCACTTGTTGAGAGCCTAGCTAAGAATGAAGTAGCAAGCCAACTCTCATAGGAGTGACATGAACTTTGAAGTAGGGTATTGGATTTATTTCAAGACTCAACCTTAAGGTTGGTGAGCATTACTGCTCAACCATTCCATAAACTGTCTACTAAATACTATAGACCATTTCAGATTATTAGGAAGGTGGGAGTTGTGGCCTACACTTTACTATTTCTCCCATCATTAAAAATACACCTCCACTATACATAGTAGTGGATCATGAAGCAATTAATTTCAATTAAAGCAGGTAAGGGTGAAATTAGTAATTAAGAAACTTAATCATAATAAAAACAATTTTATACTCAATGAATGTAAGGACCCAAGAACCCTAAAAGGCCAACTTTCCACAAATAAGCCCGAGCACATACTCGTCACCTCGCGTACACGGACTACAATTAGCATAGAAGACTCAAATCCCAAGTGGTAGTTCCTCCACACGAAGCTAGGCAAGATACTTACCTCATACAAGATAGACCGATACTCTAAAATAAATTTCTCGGGGGAAAAGACCTCTGGACAGCTCAAAACTAGCAAAAATAACTTACAAACATAAATAAAATTCATAAGAAACTATTCCGGGTCATAAAGCCTCAATCTTTATCAAAATCTAAAAATGCAACCCAAAAATTGACCCCGGGCCCGCACCTCAGAACTCGGCAAATTTTACAAAATTCGAACACCCATTCCGATACGAGTTCAACCATACAAAAATTATCAAATTTCGATACCAATTCGCCCCTCAAATCATCATTTTTCATTGTGAAAGCTTTCTTCAAAAATCCCCATTCTCTTCACTTAATAATACAAATTAAATGATAAAATCTTGAAATATAATAAATTCTAGGTGAAGAACACTTACCCAATCATTTTGCTTGAAAACCCCACAAATAATCACTCAAACCTGACCTCTAGAACTCCAAAAATGGTGAAAATGGCAAACCCTCGGAATAGATAATGTTTATATTCTGTCCAGGTCACAAGCATCGCGAACGAGGAAGAATGATCGCGTTCGCGAAGACGAAAAAGTGAAGGCTGCCAAGATGTGGTTCATGAATGCAACTGGTCGCTTGCGAATGCGGAGAGGAAAATAAAGGATGCCTAGTTTGTACTACGCAAACGCGACAACACACTCGTTAATGCAGAGAGGAAAAATTGGTCGTCCAGTTCTAAACTATGCGAGAGTGAGAACGCGAAGAATTGAGTGACAGGACTTCGTGACCGTGAGAGCAAGAATGCGAACACGAAGAAGAAATACTTCATCCATTTAAATAACACTACACAAACGCGATGGAAGTGACACAAACACAATTAAGGAAACTAGATGACAGAAAACAGCAGTCCAAAAATAGAAGGAAATGACTCGTATCCTATCCGAAACTCGCCCGAAGCCCCTGGGACTCTATCTAAACATACCAACAAGTTTCATAACCTAACACAGACTCGCTCGAGGTCTCAAATCACATAAAAAAATATTGAAACTAAGAATCGCACCATGAATCAAACTTATGAACTTTTTGAAAATACAAGAGGGGGGGGGGGGGGGGGGGTGAATTGCTTATTGTTAAACTTAATATCTAGCAGTTGACTAGTTTTACGATTACTCGATTGGATATAAGAACTTGATACTAGTAAAGACAGAATTTAAGTTGCAGAATTTAAATGTAGGAATTAAAGACACCAGAGTTTTTATACTGGTTCGGATTCAATGTGAATCCTAGTCCAGTCCCCTTGGGTTGCAAGGGAGTTCATTTTCAATGAATTAGTTTCTTCGAGAGTACAGAGAATGGTGTGGTCTACACCGATCGCTTAGTTCCTATTTCACTCATTTCATTTGATACAATGCTTCACTAGTGTTGTTCTCTCTTGTTTCTCTAACTTGTTACACAGCAGATCTAGTAGAGCTACAATGTTTGTTTGTAGTAGAATAAAAAGAAGGTATTTGGTTCGATCAAAGTATGTGGTTCTAGGGTACAGATACAAGTTTAAATACTTTGAGAGAGTCTTGGTTTCTGGAGAGATTTTCCAACATAAGAGATTTGATCCTTGGAGAGAAATTGATTTTTCCAAGAATAAGGTCATACAATAACGGCTATAATTATGAGATCCTTGATTGATATTCCATTTATGCTTCCCAAGATCTTGCACCTTCCAGATTTAGATACGCTCGACTTGATTGATTCCTTAAGTTTAGGATTGATTGATTCCGTCTTGGCTTTGATTGATTTCTCTAATACCGGATTGCTTTTCTTGATTCCTTCCATCTCGTTGTTGTCCATTGATTTCGTGATCTTTGCTAATATCGGATTGCTTTCCTTAAGTTTCCTGATTGATTGCTAACATCTCGTAGTTACTCCTTGATTCCTTGATCTTCTATAATTGATTCCTTCAGTCTTTGAATTGATGTCCATGAGTTCCTGCATAGATATATTATTTGCATCATTAAAATCAGATCTAACAATCTCCCCCTTTTTGATGATGACAAAATAATATATATGTATAAACAACAGTTGCCTTTCCTGTGTTATACTCCCCCTTAATGTATGCAGTTGACTGGTCCATGGTACTCCCCATTAATTCATGCAGTTGATTGGTCCATGGTGATAGATGGTGCAGTCGACTCCTGTTGCAGAGGATGCTAACGTACACTTACCCTTTAGTCGACTGACTTTGTATACCTGTGTAGATACATACATATATCCTTCTCCCCCCTTTTTGGCATTAGCAAAGAAGGAATAGTCAAAGCAAACTACGAACTAAAACAAGGTATATAACATTATGAAACAGAGTTATAGTCCAAAAAGCAACCAGAGAAAAACAAGAAACAAAAACAAAAATTGTCCAATGACTGATGTAATAGTCTTAAAACAGCACAACAAAAAAATTGTCTCAAGCAACCACATTAACAATGCAGAAAGTAAGTAAGAGTATTGCAGATGGCTTCCTTTAATTGGTCAAAGCTGGCATTGGTTGAGATGCTCATTCTATCAAACCTGTCATGAATCTCCCTGAAAGCCTTGACAACGTTCTCCCTTACTCTAAGAACGACAACTCTTATCTTGGACACATCAAACCCTATTTCTTTGGAGATGGCATAAATGTCACCAACAGTTGACTGAGTGGCTGTGATGAGATCTTTAATTTTAGAGGGTTGAATGTCAATGGCACGAAGCTTCTCAGCAAGATCAGGATCACTAGGACTAGGATGAGAGGCAGAATATTTGGGTTTGGGATCTATTGGAGCATGCTTTACTTCGCCTTCGTGCTTCTTAACCCATGAGCCTTTCACACTCACATATCCCATACTTGCAAAATCTCTAGAATTTTAAGATTTTGAAACCGTGATAAAGGGATAAACAGACAGGGAAATTTGGCGGCTTCCAGGATGTGAGTAATGGCCATACCATAGGGTAGACTGGTGGGATCTTCTGCACTTTCAATCATGAAGTTAATGACCTAGGAGGATAACTTGACTTTGAGTTTGGTCACAAGACAATACACCAAGAAGGTGTCTCTTTGAGAGATGGTAGAGAAGGAACCAGTGTGAGAAAGCAGAGTAGTTGTTATGATATAAGCCAGGACTCGAGTTTCAAAACTAACATCACTGGGGCCTAACTGATTGGGAAGGGATTCAGAGGAATACTCAGCAATACATCGTTTAGCTTGATCAAAGGAGATTTCAAAATCATTGGGTCGGGTATTTTTGAAAAGCATGGGAAAATCAGAACATTTACACTGAAAGAGTGAATCAAACATGGCACAATCAAGGGCAATGCGCTTACCTAACACTAAGGATTCCAATTTATCAGGTTTACTAGAACAAAAATTAGCATAAAACATCTTTACTAGGGGTTCATAGACCTTAGGCGGAGGAATAGAGAGGAACTTAGACCACCCTTGATGAACAAAAAGATTTTTTACCTTACAATTTAAGGCTTCCATGTCGTCAAGGTCGACTACCCTTCCATGAACAATGGGCTTGTTTTTCAAAGCGATGAAAAGATCCATGTTTGGAGAATCCCAGAAATTTAGGTCAGATTCTAGGGAGCCAGAAAGATCTATCTTGGATTTATTTGGAGTGGAGGAAATAGGGGGGTCTTCCATAGGTCATTTTCCTAAAGCTTTTTCTCCTAAGATTTGAGAATGATCAGACAAATCACCCTGCGAAGAAGCGAAACCCTCTGAATGGTCGGACCCTAGCTCTACTTGTTCTGGGGGAATAGAAAGGGGTTTTGCTTTGGAATGGGTACTTTTTCTTGTGGAGGTAGATGGGTTCTTGGAGTGTTTATCCATTAAAGGATAGTGGTTTGAGCAGAGCTTCGGAGAAGGGTTTTCTATATGATAGAGATAAAAGTGATTGAAAAGAGATCTTTGCCTTAAAAAGAGGGATTCTGAACCTTCTGACGGTTGAGTACAGAAAAGGAAAAAGGCTTCAGTTGAATAGACGTGATGATTGGCTTTCCATCTTTGAACGGCGCAATTGATGTGAAAGAAGAGGAAAAGAGAGGGAAAACGGAGGCGTAATTAATGAAAAAGTAAGAGACAATTATTAAACCTACAAAAGTAACCGGATTACACATATGTCCTACAAATTATTATTAATGCAAGTAATTCCAAGTAATTTTCTCAAAGCACAAAACATATCCTCTAATAAAGGCTTAGTAAAAATATTTGCTAATTGATCAGTTGTTCCAACAAAAGATATTTTTACGTCTCCCTTAAGAACATGATCTCTAATAAAATGATGCTTGATGTCTATATGCTTTGCTCTAGAATGATGCATAGGATTCTTTGAAAGACATATAGCACTAGAATTATCACAGAAGATTTGAATAGGCTTAAAAAATAATTCATAGTCACCAAGTTGATGAGACATCCACAGTAGTTGTGCACAACATTGTCCAATAGCAATGTATTCAGTTTCAGTTGTGGATAGTACAACTGATCCTTGTTTTTTACTATTCCAAGATATTAAAGCTTTGCCAAGCAATTGACATGTCCCACTCATGCTTTTTTTGTCTTCCTTATCACCTGCAAGATCAGCATCTGAAAAACCTTCTAAATTAAAAGTGTTAGAACGAGGATACCATAATCCATGAGAGACAGTTCCAATATGATATCGAATAATTCTTTTTACTGCAGTCATGTGAGACTCCTTAAGAGGTGACTGAAACCTGGCACATTTACAAACACTGAACATAATATTTGGTCGACTAGCAGTTAAATAAAGAAGAGAACCAATCATTCCACGATACTTAGTTTCATCAACAGATTTTCCCTGTTCATCTTTGTCGAGACTTGTTGAAGGACTCATTGGTGTGACAATAGCTTTGGCACTGCTCGTGCCGAATTTTTGGATCGGATCCTTTGTGTATTTAGTCTAACACATGAATGTTCCGTCTTCAAATTGTTGAATTTGAAGTCCAAGAAAGAACGTCAGTTCTCCCATCATACTCATTTCGAACTCACTTTGCATAAGATTTGAAAATTCCTTGCACATAAGAGGATTAGTACTACCAAATATAATATCAATATAAATTTGAATAATGAGATTACCTTCTGATGATCTTTTAATAAATAGAGTATTATCTACTTTACCTTTTGTAAACCCATGATCAATTAGAAAAGAGCTTAATCTTTCATACCATGCTCGTAGAGCTTGCTTCATCCTGTACAGTGCTTTAGTTAGCTTTTACACATGATATAGGAAATCTGAGTCTACAAACCCAAGGGGTTGCTTCACATATACTTCTTCTTCAACGAAACCATTTAAGAAGGAACTTTTAACATCCATCTAAAATAACTTGAATCCTTTAAATGATGCATATGCCAATAGAATATGTATAGATTCCAGACGAGCTATTGGGACAAAGGTTTCAGCATAGTCGACTCCTTCTTGTTTTGAATATCCTTGAGCAACTAATCTGGCTTTGTTTATTATGACTTTTCCATCCTCATTTAGCTTATTTCTGAAGACCCACTTTGTCCCTATAACATGAATGTTTTCAGGTTTGGGTATCAGCTTCCATACTTGATTTTTGTCGAATTGATCTAACTCATCCTGCATCGCTTGCATCCAACTTGAGTATTTAAG